GCACTGCACTCCTTTGTATCATCAATCATAGTTTATTGAATATGTTACTCCATGCGGGTTTCGTTACTTCTGTAGCAGCTGCAACGCACTTCCATTATTCCTGTGTCCCGGAGAAGTACATAGAACCGAATTGCCAATTATGCAGATTGGTACCTCTCCATTTTTCCCATTACCGTAATAATTTTTTAGTTAATTTACTTCTGATATTCAAGCTCTCTTATGTAATTCATTAAAACCACAATTGCTGGCTGTGGCATGTAAAAGTTTGCAGTTGATGCGTACACATCATAAACAGAATGCTGCTTTCATTTCCATTCTTCCCAGTTCTTGGCTAGCTATACGCATTGCCTCAAGAAAGTAAACAGTGGTAAAAGTATTGCTGTTAGATGATCTTGTGAGCAGTGACTGATGTAGAACTTTCCCTTTAGTGACTCGACCTCGAGAAGCAAATTATAATAAACGTAGAATGTCAGACGCCCCCAGTTAAAGAACATTTTCTGCATTGCCTTCCCGTTTGTGACTTACCAGAGGATTATATCATCTCCCGCATAAAGAAATCATTTACGTAATTCAGAGTAAATTATTAGCCATTTTCGTGATTTTAACCGATCCCCTTTGTTGTCTACTACCAAAACCTGTCCATGACTCAATAGAATCTGATTTTTGCGTTTGCTTCGCAAGTTTCGATTAAGCCGTATACAGTGGCGAGGAAAACTTGTGGAGCGATAGTGCTTGTTTGAACTGAATAAAATACTGAATGATTTCACAATTTTTTCAAAGGAAATTAATCTTCAGAAGGGCTTTATAGCCAAAGTGCCATTTTTTGGGCAGAAACAACGTAATTTTGTTTTACAAAGCAAAAGAACATTGTTGACCTTCATATTCTTCATTTTCATCTTCCATCACCGCTGCTCTTTTTGGGTCGCAATCTGGCGCAGGGCAAGTATATGCACAGAGGTGCTTCGACCGGGTCGGAAGCCACACTGGTCTTCTTGGATCTTGACGTCAG